CAGGCCTTGTGGACATCAGAAAGGTCATGTCAAAGTCTACCTGTACCTGCACCCCGCTATGCTTATGGGGTGTCCACGTGGGGATCCAAAGGCATAGAACCTGTAGTCTTCAGAGTTTTACAGACAGGCCCAGGCCCAGACCCAGGGAATGCCACTACAGGAACCCTCTATGCCTAAAAAAAAAAAAAAGTCCGGACTCAGGAACACAGCAAAAACCCAAACCGGAAATGTTACAGTGCCTCCTGCCTTCCTCCAACCCCCATGTTTTGGATTTCACAGTTTAAAAAAAACTTTTTTTGTTTTTTTTTTTTATACTTGACTCTTACTGAAGTCATGGGTAGCAGGTAAAAGAAGTCAGACTGGCCATTTTTATAGAGGAGGAAACTGAGGCAAGGAGGGCCAAAGCCTGCTGAGATCATGCAGGTAGCCAAAGGCTGACCTAGGACTAAAAGCTAAGGTGAAGGTCACCTTCTCCTAGAGAAGGAAATGGAAAACAACACAGGAGGTGGTGACCCAGGAACAGGAAGAAAAGTGTAGGGGCACAAATGTTCTCACCAAGGCTGAGGTCGGCATCCACTAGATGAAAACACCTGAGAAGGTTTAGTTGATGTCTGCTGCCACCAAGTGGCAATGCTGAGGTATATCAGCCAAGAACATGTCTCACAAGCCTTTGGGTGAGGGACATAACTCATAGGGCACTGGTTCTCAAAGGCGTCCCCTAAGGTCAAGACTATGTTCATAGAACCCGAAGATGTCGCCTGCTTTTCTCCATCTCATTTCCTCATGGGTGTACTTGATGTTTTCCAGAGACTACACTGCCAGTGATATCACATAGACTCAGAGCAGGAGCAGCTAGGGGAATCCAGCTGCCTTCCACTCCAGCCAGATATTAGACAGAGTAGCAAAACTGAAAGACAAGGCCAACCTTATCATCATTTTTGCTTGGAAGGAATATTTTCATAAATTATGTTCCTTATGCTGACAAGTAGTTTATGATTATATTTTAGATGAAGATATATTTTAAAATTTTAGTTTTTATTTCTAGTAAATAAGCAAACGTTCTTTGAGGCCCTCAATAATTTTTTTTTTTAATGCTGGCTAACTTTTATTAAAGGGAAGAAGAGAAACAGGCTCTGCAGAGTGAGTCCGAGCCAAGTTAAAGTAGGGAAAGAAGCACACCCTACAGTGTGAGGGTGGGCGGCCAAGCAAGAGGGACACAGTGACCGGCCCTCATCAATTCTGGGTGGGGAAAGGCCCGCTGCTAAGTGCTGCCGAGTCAAAGCCATGGTTCCCAGTGAGTCTCATCTGCCGAGTTTAAAGCTCTTCCTCCCCGGGACGACACTGTCTTGGTTACTTTTCTCTCCTTGCTGAGAGAAAATAACCCAGCGCCCAAAATTAAGGAAGGAAAGGTTTATTTAGCTCACAATTTGTGGAGGTTTCAGTCCATACTTGGCTGGCTCTGAGGCTGAGTGGCACATGGCAGAGGGCAAACGTTCATGGCAGCAGAAGACAGCAAAAACAACAAGAGCAAAAGGAAGGAATGGCGGCAAGCAGCCTCTTTCCCTCCCTTACATTGTAAGCAGGCTACCCCCACTTAAGGGGCGTGTAGCTGTCACATAACCTCCATGCCCTCCTCTTCCACAGGCTCAGGATGTATACAAAGTAAGCACCCTGGCTCCCTGCTGAGTCACTTAGCCAAACCTCTGGACTCCCCAAGTTGACACAATGTATCAGCCATAACAGACCCAAAACTGGTGCTTTGCTGGGAATTCTGTTCTGTTTTTATCCTTTTTGGAAACAGAACATCATCTGTGTAAAGACATTCCTAACCATGTGGAACTCAGCTGCCTAATCCTGAGTTTCCCAAAGGCAAGGTTCCTGTCATTGTGACCGGCACAGAACTGGACAGAGTCAGACTGCACACTCTTTTGAGGGCATTGTTGGAGAGGAAGGCTACAGTATGCTGACTGAAAGAAAAAAATCCCAAACTATTGGCCCCAAGTGCTGCACACAAGATTACTTCCCCATGCACGTGTAAGCGGGAGTGGGGACCGATGCTGGGCGATCCCTCCCTGATCGTGAGATCTGTCAGGGTTGGGCTCAAGTTTCTACATTAGAATTGAGTTTCATTTGTTTCCAACCCTGCTGCTTTTCTGGGGGAAACTGGATGCACAAAGTGTGTCTGAGGCATCACCTACACCGCTTGGGGGCGGGCAGGTTGACAAAAGCTGTCACAGCCTTGCTGAGGGTGGGCAGCGTGGCCGGGCCAGCTGGAAACCTGGAAAGCAATTGCCCAGCATGGAAACCCTGCTCTACACACATGAAAAAAATGTGCTTTTTTGTGGTAAACCATAAAATGAATATATGCTCACTGCAAAGAATTAAAATACTTTCTTGGACACAGAGAAATCATCAAAGTAAAAATTGAAAGGCGTCCCCCAAGTCCACATCCCAGAAACGGTCACTGTAAAATTTGGTACAGATCCTTCCCAGCACTTTTCAGTGCCCAAATAATTGTGCATATATGAGCTATATTAGAAAAAGAAAATGAGTAACACACTTTTTTCCTGCCATTTCAGTTCTGTACTTATTACATTCCTGACACAATATTTCCATAGCAAGGTGTGGAAGATCGACCTCATTCTTTTCAGTGGCTGTGTGATGCTCTTCTAGAGGATGGCTGTGTCTCTGTTGGTTTAATCCACTCCTTAGTTGATGGACAAGTAGAAAGTCTCTAAATTTCTATTATTCTAGACAGTTCTCAATGGCCATTATGATGCTTCCTTTGTTTTCCAAAAAAGATGCATATTTCCTTTATTTCAAACACTGTCCATGATTGCTGCTGCACAGTCTGGACATGCAGAAAACAGGTCTGGCTTTACAAGGGGGGCACAGGCAAAGGAGACAGAGTAGGTCACACGTGTGATTGTAACATAAAGCGGGCGCTGTGTTATAGGAGCTGTACGAGTGGAAAGGCCAAGGCAGTCGTTGAAGGCAGAGGGAGAGCTATGGAAGCCATAAACTGGGGCTTGCAAGGGGACATTCCTAGCCCTGGAGATGGGCTGGGGTCGTCAGGCTAAAGAAAAGCATAGAGCAGGGAGTCCTGAAGGGAGGTGGACAGACAGCGCTTGGTCCAGAGGGTCTATTGGATCTCTCAGCTGTTTCTTCAGGAAGTATTTGGGTACCCATTACACACCTAGCACAATATGGAAGTGGCTCAAACCCAGGGAACCTGGGCAGAGCGATGGGGGACATGTGGACGGGAAGTTCTGATGTCATTGACAGGACTTCAAGGATGGCTTGAGACCCCAAAATTATGTGTCCCAACAACTTTCTTTCTTTTTCACTGTGAAATGGTCAGTGCCTTTGCTACTAGTGTTGTCCCCTATGATGGACCAGTAGGACAGAGTACCTTCAGGGAGATAATCAGAGGAGATTGGTAATCCAAGTCCTTACTGGGGGCTCAGGTCCGTGGGAGCCTCAGTTTCATCATCTATAAGCTAGGTCAGCAATGCTTCACTCTGTTATCTCGTCCTATCACCAAGGGGCACCAAGATGATGAAGAAAACCTGGGAGGCAACTTAGGTACCTGAAAAAAGTTGTTGTTTCTTAGCCTCACCAGGAGCATCGGGTTCAAGGCTCTGGCCAGCTTCCTGAAACCACTGCCTCCAAACAAACTGAGCAACCAGGACCTGCACCAGGATGTGGCCTCGCTGAGACACACCTGAGAAATGTGTTTCAGGATAGGTTACAGCTGAGACTTTGGGTCTACCTGCAAGTGAACCAGATACCAGGAGCATCTCTTGTCCAGCATCCTCAGCATCTGCGCAGGCCAAGTGATGCTGGGGTGGACAGAAAGACCCAGCTCTGCTGCCAACAGAGTTTCTAACACACCAGCATGGAGTTAGTGTGGGGCCCCTTGTATTGTCCCCAACACCTGAGATGGCACCTCACACAGCAGGTGCTCGGCAAATGTGTGATCATTGAGTGACTAGATAAATGAGCGTCCCGCTGCTGGAGAGAGTGCCTTCAGGGCTCTCTGTCTCTGGCTGCCCTTTCTAACCACCATTATCTGTCCTACTGATATGAGGAAAGACATGAGGCTGCCATCCATAGTTCCTTTGTTCACTTGAGTGACTCAGGTTTCTCTCTGGGCCAGTGACATCTCCAGGGGCTTGAAGAGAGATAACAATGAGAGTGGCTAGCACCTCCTGGAAGAACTCCCAGGTTACTGCCTGGCCAAGCTGTTCAATTCATGGCATCCAGAAAGCAGAGAGCAGGGCCAGAGCCAAAAAGAAAGGGCTCAAGGACTAGATATTACCCCTAAGATATACTCACGCTCTCATGATACACCCAAACATGCCCAGAAGTAAAGCACACTTTCCCTGGATGCCATGGGTGGAACAGTTCGCCTCTGTCACACCCTTCCGCCGTGATGTTACTGTCCAGGAGCAAGCTATGGCTGAAACCTCTGACACCATGAGCCAAATACTCTGCCCTTTTAAATGGTGTATGGCAGGTAGTTTGTCCCAGTAATGGAAAAGTGACTAATACACACTTCCGCATAGTTCCAACAGGAAAGAAAATACAGAACAGTGAACTCTCTAGAAATGTTCTGTGCAGACAGAGCATTTCGCTTTGTTTTGTTCTCCACGTGAAAATCAGGTCTAGGTGACACTCACCACCATCCAAGCTCAGGGCCCACATCTCTGAAGTACATCACCATATGCCATCAGCACATGCCACTGCTCAGGATGGCGAGAATGCTTTCAAGGGCATCTTTCCCTGGTTGCCCTTTCCAACCCCTGCACCTTCCCCTGCCTACGTCAGGCTAGTGGCAGAAAGGAAGCAAGGCTGCCGTCTAGAGTTCCTTTGCACACCTGGTTGAAGCAGGTTTCTCTGGGCCAGTGACATCTTCAGGGGCCTCAACAGAGGTATGAATGAGGGTGGCTGATGCTTCTTGGAAGCTAGGCAGAGCCATCAGACACAGAAACAACCTGAAGAGTTTTCAGTGCTTTTATTTGGAAATTTGGAGTTAACTCCAGCTCCTGAATGAATCCCTAACAAGTTCACAGCAGCCATGAGGGTAGGGGTCTATTTTGCTCTAGCGTTTTCCAGGTGCTGGCCCAGAGCTAAAATAGATGGTGACTTCCCGGCCAATGGTCCCTTGCTTCCTCCCAAAGCAGCAGCTCAGCAGTCCGGCTGGAAGTGAGGACAGAGAGCCTAAACTGTGAAGAAAGGTGTGCCAAGGCCAGCATGCTACCCGAGGGCCCACCTCGCTCAGAGTCGGGATGGCCAAGGTCCTTCTTTCTCTCCCATAAATTCACTGCTACTCATTCTGTAGATGCTACCATCACTGACCTATAGCAGAACGAGGCCTTGTTCAGGTGACATCAACCCTGGGGGAAAAAAAGGAGGTATAAGAAGGTCATCTTCCAAGGTTATCAGCAGCCTCTAAGGTTGAACTACCTGCTTGGAGGCTGTATTCGTGAAGCACTGATGGTCCAGTTATCACCATGAACACTGCCGAAGGGGCAGGGGAAGGCGTGGCATTATTTGTGTCTTCTCTTAAATATACATTTTTCTGAAATTGGAAGTAGGCTACTAAGGTCTACAGCATGCATGTCAGGGCAGAGAGCAGATGAGCATTATCCAGGAGGATCCAGGGCCAGGATCTTGCTGTGCAAGCAGGGATGGCACAGCTAGACTCGTGGGCCTCAGAGAAGCCTAAAAGCTGGCTGCTGGTCAGTGACTAGGATGACATTTCTGCCAGCACAGCTCTTCTTCCCTGGACCGTCTGACACTGCCTTCTGCATGTGAACAGATAAAATTAAGCCTATCACAAAACAACAACCTCACACACTGTGTATTTGGCTTCATGTGTCCTCGGGTCCCTGTGACATGTGCTCTGGGAGAAAAAAAACACAGGAGTGAAGTGTTCTTCCTCCACGGCCCTTGGAGCAGCTGGGTGTTTTATCCCCTGAAGACATCTGGAGACAATTCAGTGTCATTTCTATCTCCCGTGCTCAGGGATTCTTGAGAAAATCACCCTCCCACTTCTTCCTAGGAACCAGAGGGCTCTCTATTGCTCTAATATACATTATTTTACTCTGCTTTGGTCTCCATGATGAGAGAGGCATTGGCTTCTACATCATCAAAGAGTATATATTGCTGCTGCCTAGAGCATGACCTGCCTGAAATCTCACAGCTACCTAGTTAATTCAAGTCTGGGTCTTCTTAAAAAGCCTTGATCCAGGCACAGTGGCACACTCTTACAATCCCAGTACTCTGGGAGGCTGAGGCAGGAGAATCACACATTCAAGCCCAGCTTGGGCACCTTACTGATGTAGTAAGATCCTATCTTAAGAAAAAAAAAGTGGCTGAGAGTGTAGCTCAGTGCAAAGGCCCCGGGTTCAAGACCTGGCCACAGCAAGTACTGAAGCAACAATAAAAAGTCCTTAGCATTCCTGGTTCTCTGTTAGAGCAGGAAGTTAAAGAGTTTGGGCAGGGATTGTTCCAGACAGGGCCCAGAGCAGTTGCCAGGAATCTCCCTCCCCTACCGGAGAGACACCAGCCTCCTCCCCCATCGTGGCACTCCACTTTCCAAAGGAAGACACATGCCCAAGCCCAAGCAAGAAAGAGCACTTTCAGGAAGAAAAGCTTCTAATTTTCTGAACAGCCAAATCCAGAACAATCATGACTTGGCTTGTCAGAAATATCCTTCTCCTTGAAGAAGCCAGTGGCCAGGAGTCACCTGGATGACAACATGGGAAAGTATCCAGCCACTCTGGGACCTGCGAGGTCTTGGCAGGTCTTGGCAGTAAAATCATTTTGGAGCTGAAGTTTAATGGTATGGAAAACTGGTCTTGAACTATCAGATCGGGGAGAGTGGGTGACATACACCGTGTAAAGCAGACTCTGATTGGGGGGAGACACATAAAAATGTGTAGAATAGTAACAAGCTCTTGTGACTGTAGGTATCTATTTTGTTCTTTCTGTTTTGTCTACAATAACAAATACACTGGTTTTAGTATAGGATTTTTAAAAGCGGGGAGCGGCCAAAGTATGAGCACAGTTTTAAGAACAAGACGTCTCTGCTCTGCCCTGGACGTGACCCTAATGCAGTGACCCTTCACCAAGGTTTAATTATGCAAAATGTGTTACTCCTCTTTTCCTTTTACAAAAAAGGGCAAGGAGCCAGAGGAGATGTGAATGTCGGTGCTTTAGTAACAAGCTGAAAGCATTTATTTAAAGCCAGCTCCCAGGGCTGGTCCAGGCCTCTCTGTGCTCAGCCTGACTGATGGCACCCTCTCCTTTCTTCCAGGACCGGGTCCCGTCATGCTTCCCATCAGGACGCCATGGGCCCACAAAGACACCTTTCAGCCCCTGGCCCCCAAGGGAGGCAACAGACGCTCTGGTCTTCTGTGGTGAGGAACATCCTCCCCGCAAGAATTTGCAGTCACTGAGGCTGAAACACAACGGCTGTTTGGTTGACTGGAAGTTTGGTAACTCACCTCTCTCTGTGTTTTGAGCTTGGCAGGTAACCAGAGAAGGTTTGGGGCCAGAGAAAGAGAACAAGGAAATAAAAGCAAAAGCAGCAAGAGGAGGCACTGAGGAGATATTGGAGGGTGACCATGCTCTACCCAGTGCCCTTGCTGAGCGGCCATCTAAGTGCCAGCTCTGCGTGAGGTGCCCACAGTGAGGGGCGGGGACCAGGTGGAGTGCCACAGGGACCTTCACCTGGTTGGAAGGTAGGGGAGCCAGCAGGCATCTGGGATGCTGTGTGGCAGGGCTGCGGGTCGACAAGGTGTGCCTCCTCCTAGCTGATACATCAGGCGGGTGTCCTGAGGGAGAGCCTGCTCTCCTAGGGCTGGGGGACGAAGGTGGCTGAAGCTAAGATAAAGGAGGAAGGGAGGCGTGAGGAGAGGGAGTCAGTCGGTCGGGAGCACAGCATGAGCAGACACAGAAGTGAGAGAGGACGGGATGTTCAGGATTGTGGTGAGTCGTGAGCCTGGAGAAGGAAGTAGTACCTATGGTAGGCTGTGTCTAGGGGGCAACCGGGAGCCGCTGAGGGTATTCAAACTTGGGCTTCCCTTTTAGAGGCCCCCTCAGGCTGCAGGGATCTTTCTGTAACAAGAGAGAGAAAAGGAGAGGGTACAGGAGGCAAGGAATGGTGGCAGGTACTTGTCTTTTAGGGCTTCAGGAGTGTGTCGGCTGCTGTCAGACTCAGGCTCTGAAGGGGAGCAGGGCGATGGTGTCTCAGGACTGTGGAAGCGATGATGGGAAAACGGTAGTGGAACTGGCTGTACCAGGTACATTCTGCGCCCACTCCAGTCTGGGGACTCAGCACACCCCTAGTCCCTGGAGGGTGTTTCAGAGCTGCTGTGGGATGGTTTGAAGGGTGAGCATGCCATCCCCAGACCCACCACAGTGACAGAGGGACATTTCAGAGCCTACAATGTTTTCATAATGAAGAAATTCATTCATTTCAAATTCACAAATGGCTGGGAGGGAAGCACACTGACCTGGCTGGCGCTCATGGGCTCGTCACACTGTGGTCCCCACGGAGTGCCTGTAGGGAGAGCTCGTAGCCAAGGAACATGGCGGCGCTCGTAGGGAAGCCCCGCACAGCATTCACAGTGATGCCTCTGAAAAACACCTTCGCCCAGGAAGTCAGTTATTTCAGGGCCACCCCCACACCCTCTGTGATGGTGCTGCCCACCCTGGTCCCTGGCCCTGACCAAAACCCAGAGACCTGTGCAAGCAAAGATCACAAGGGATAGTCTAATCATGCCTGCTCCGACCCAAGTTACAGTTGATGGCGTTTTTTCCTCCTGGACTCTGCTATTCAAGCACTAACGATTAAGGGCAAATTGCTGAGCCCTACAAACACATATACTTTCTTCATCATTCCCCTCCCCTCCCTCTCTCTAGGAATCTGGAAATCTTAGTTAGACAGAGCCCCCAGTCATGTCCGGCCATTGCAACACTTGCATCATGTGACATTCCCAAAGTGCAGGTACAAAACTCGGGCTGTGCTTAAGACTACAGAGATGGAGTTGGGACAGTTTCCCCAACACAGTACCCTATGCTGCTTAAGCAAGTGGTGCTCTCTGGAACTCAATTTTCCCAACTGGAAAGTGGGGTAACAGTGGTGCTGAGCAGCTGAGTCGTTTGAAGGAACGAAAAAGAACACTTCTGAAGCAGCCCTCGAACAGCGCGCAGCTTACAGTGAGTAATCAGTGACAGCTGACACCGCCACTATCACTGTTCCTATCAGCAGTCTTCACCTAATACAGACAAGGACTCAGCCACCATGGTGGGACCATCTGATTATCCATGTGGTGTGAGGGCTGGGGAGGAATGACCTGGACAAGCTGCTGAGCTCTGCCTTCGCTGTTACTTGTCCCTGTCTTTGTCTTCCATCCCTGGGGGATAGGACGATCTCCCTTTCCTCACTGAATCTTCCTGCTTGGTGCTGATAGACATGAACCATGTGAGTGGTTTGCAACCTATTAGAAGAGACAAGCTCCATTCTAGAGCAATTACAATAGGTCAGGCAGTGACAGGAACAGACGAGACCTGGAGTGAAGCCTGCGGTGGGAGAAAACTGGGGCCTCAGGAAGCTCGTCTGCCTACAAAAGTGCCTCCCCATCTCCCACCAACCTCAACACACTGTCGCAAACCCTGCAGCGCAGCCACTTCCGTGAGGCTAAAAGATACCAAAATGCTCCTCCAGCCTCCTCATTTCAGATCATGATCTCCAAGGAGGAGCGACGGCCCACAGTGGGCAAAACACGGAGCCCAGACGAATCCTTACCCAAGCATAAGTGACCCAAGAACTCCTAGGCATATCATTTCAATCTGCTCTTACCCCTCCATAGAACACTAAGTTTAAGGAACAGAATTAGTCATTTTCAGAAAGTAGAAACCAGGCCTTTGTGTTTCCTCAGCTTCCTTGGCCTCTGGGTACTGGTGGGGACAGAATTCACAAAGGCCGCTGTCAGTACCCAAGATGCCAGGTGACCAGGGCAGCCTCGGGATGCAGCTTGGTCCAGGGAAGGAGTCAGCGGATCAGGATCCTCAGAGGTGGGTGAGTGGCCGAGCCGAAGCCTGGAGCCATGCAGACGGGGCACGGGCGGGCTCCTGGTAACCTTAGCACTCCTCTGCACTGTCTGACTCTTCCTGGAATGCCACAGGCTCAGCCAGAGTGACTGAGTAACAGCAAGAACCTGGTCAGGCTCCGGGAGGAAAATTCCATGCTGGTGCCCACAGAGGCACCCTATGGGTCTTGGCTTGGCTCAGCCATGCTTGCAGAAGCCGAGCCAGGAGTGCCCAGCTTGGCGTGTGGGCTTTTTGCCCCACACACAGACCTCCCTCCAGCATCTGAGGCCTGCGGGGCTGCGAGGCCCACAAATGGCAAAGAACACGCAGACCTGTTGCCTTCTACCCTGAGCTTCCAGAACACACAGTCCCCAGGCCAAGTTCCTCCTCACGAAGCCCACATGGCTTCCGGTTGCCCAGGGTCAAGTCCTTATACTCCCTGGCCTACAAGAACCCCCATGGCCTGGCCCTGCACTTTCTGGGGATGCCTCTCACATCTGACAGTCACCTGTCATTCCGTGGGGCAGATGCTCTCTCCCATCTCTGGGCCTCCTCGGGTCCCCTGCACCTGCCAGACCCTCCAGAGCAGGCTTACAGCCTCTGGCCATCCCCCCACAGCTGTCCCAAGGTGGATTATGGCTGTAGCTTTCTGTGCATTCCACGTCTTCCCCATTACACCACTTTCCTCTCCGCTTTCCCATCACCCATGACTTGTTTGCCCCCAACCCCACCACAGGGCAATGAGCAGAGGCTCTGGGTATGGTTTCCTTCTGAGTCCCCAGCACCTGCCAACACTTGGCCCAGGGTAGACCTCCAGATTCTCATAAGTATGTCAGTGGGTGAATGAGGAGATTAACAAACTCTTGGGTGAGAGGGAGGGACAGTCTCAGGGTCCTGTGGTGGTGGCCGTCAGGGAGAGGGCTCCAGACCCTGACAGGCAGAATCTCAGCACAACCTACCCTGGGCCTCAGGAAGCTCGTCTGCCTACAAATGTGCCTCCCCATCTCCCACCAACCTCAGCACACTGTCGCAAACCCTGCAGCGCAGCCACTTCCGTGAGGCTGAAAGATACCAAAATGCTCCTCCAGCCTCCTCATTTCAGATCATGATCTCCAAGGAGGAGCGACGGCCCACAGTGGGCAAAACATGGAGCCCAGACTGCCAGGCCTTTCTTCTCTTTTCTCTTCTGGGTGTCTCATAGGCTGTGGACGTCTAGTTTCCACATCACAAGGGCTGCTTTCCTGGCCATTCTTAAGTGAGTGACAGAAGGTGACTTAAACCGCACACCGCTGTACTAGCTTACTCCCTTCCGACTCCCCAAGCTCTTCTCTAGTTGGATAGTGCCGGGTAGAGCATTGTGCGACCTTCCAGAGCCACAGTAAAGAGCATGGGGACGGGAGCCACCAGGATCTGCCCATGCCACCAACAGGGGGCGACAGTGGCTCCTTCTGTTGCTGCTGTCAAGACCACTGAGTTTCTGGTTGGTGGGAAACTCATTACTGCTTATGTTTACATGAAGACACTCTCATATACAAACATACACAAATACACAGTCATACATATGTGTGTGCATATTGCTGTGAAATTCATCATGGTAACCGCCTCTGAAGAATGAGGGCCACAGGAAGGACTGTGAGACAGTGCGTTCTCTTATGTCACTGGACGCTTTCTATGTTCACATGTTATCTGTCTGGGGCAGGCAGTGTTCAGGATGGAACCCAGGGTCTTTGTACTGAGCTACATCCCCAGAAACCACCTGTCTCCCACTAAAAAAAATTTTTTTGTTGTTGTCTTTTTGAGACAGGGTTTCACTATGCAGTTCAGGCTGGCCTTGAACTCACTTTGTAGCTCAGACTGGCCTCAAACTAGCAGCCATCCTCCTGCCTCAGCCTCCTGAGTGTTGGGATTACAAACATGTGCCACCACACCTAGGAAAAGCAAAAAAAGAAAAATTTTTTTTTTGAGGTAGAGTCTCTCTCAATTGTTAGGTTGCCTGGCTAAGCTTGAATTTGCAGTCTCCCCGCCTTAGTTTTCCAGAGTGCACATGCCGCCATGCTTGGCTCTGTTTTAATCTGTTAACAAAAATTTTAAAAATTAATCTTGAAACATGTGGCCAGTGAGGTGGTTAATCAAGCTAAACACTGCTATGTCCACTTCAAGCCTGTCTCTGAATAAACATTACAGACCAGTGAGAGCGAACCTTTTAGAGCTTTTAATGAAAACGAACAGCCCCCTGGGGCACGTCGCCATAGGTTCACCACGGTTAGACCAAACACTGTTATCGAGATGAAAGAGCCTGTTCCCCGTTATCGAGGCCTCAGCTGCCTGGTAGGACTTTATTTTTTCTGAAGCACAGTAAGTTTTGGAGGAAATAATATTAGCAATATATTTTGCCTCTATAGTTTTTTGAATGATCATATTAATATTTTGGGAAATAGAAAAGAACATTTCAATTAAAATTACAATGTCCAACTTGAATCTCTTTTGTGTCCTTCCGTAACTGTTCATTAAATCACAAACTATACTGTTAAAAATTTAACACACAAAACATCAACCAAGGCTATTCCTAGAAGTCACCTGTGTAACAAAGAGCTTCTTGATGAACGAAAAACAAGTGGAGTTCCCCTCATACCACGTCTTATCCTAAACACAGTCCCAGTGCCCACCGTCTCCTCACACCCCAGGAAGTCCTCATTCTGGGAAACATCAGTGTCTTCACTAATGAGCAGTGACCGGACGCACAGGTCCTATTCCGGCTGTGACGGGATCCGGCTTCTCCCTCCTGACCCTACCCTCTGTACTTCCACTAACGCTCACTGACAGTTAGCTCCATCAGAACTTGGGCTTTGTCTCTCTTTTTCGCTACTCTATCTCCAGCTCCTACAACTGCACGCGGCACATATCAGGTGTTCTAAAACTAGGCATTTGTCAAATTAATAATGAAAGCTGAAGCCTTCAGGCATTCTCTATAGGAGCCTGTGTCAAATCAGATTGCCCGTCCTCTACATATGCAGCTGATTTTTCATGCTAAGGACTGGACATCACATTGATTTCTGGTGGTTCTGGGCCCCCAACCATGCTTGAGGACACGGGAAGCAAACTGGCACCTGGAGGTAGGAGTGCTGGGCCTGGAAGGATGAGCAGTCATCTTCAGGTCTCGGGTTGGGGGCAGCCAGGGGAAGAGGTCCAGGTTCAATGCTAACACAGACACTACTGAAGGTAATACTGACATTACCAACACCAAAAACAAATGTTCCCTGCGAGTTATGCATGAAACTCCGCAATTTCAATTTAACCTACAAACACCCCTGTCCTTCCTGGTAGGAATGAGCATCCCTGAGAAACTGAGGCCCAAAGAGATCCATTTGTTGGATTACCCCAGCTCACAGGTAGCTGGTCCTCACCTTGAACCCAAGACTGTGTACTGTAACAGCCATGCTAAGGCCACAAGGTGCCCGCGGAGGAAGAGCGAGAAGGGTGGTTTCTCTGGAGGGCGGTCAATTTGTTTATAACTGTGGACGTGGCACAGAGGCCTTTGTTCTTGGATAGTTTGGGGGGAAGAGGCGGCGTTTAAGCTAAGCTCTTTGGCTGTAGGAAGGAGAACAGAGGAGACAAGGCCTCAGGAGCCAGGTCAGAGGTGCCAGGTCAGAGGTGCCTCCATGGCTGAGTCCAGAGGCGATGGCATCTGGTCTTGGTTGAGACGTGAAAGCAAAAGGCAACTGAAGGAGCTTGGAACTAGTGAGAAGACATGACTGAGGGGCAGGAAAGATGCAAGGTGGCTCTGGAACTCGCCAGTGGCAGGAGGGGCACAGGACTGCCCCTCCCATCCCAATGAGGAAGCAAACTGTGGTGATCACAGACGTGGGTGCTGGCCCTATCCCAACCAAGCACCAGCTATGTGAGCCTGAGTCTGTCTCTCTGAAACCCTGTCTCATCTACCTCCTCCCCTGGCCTGAGGTGAGAACTAGACAAGACTGATCTGGTGAAGCCTGAGCAGGTACTGCCTGCTTCTCCTAGCTGCCAGCACCTCAGGCTCCCAATTCCCTTCCTTAGGGAGTCACAGTCCCACATGTCTGAACCACTACCCCCGGCAAATCTGCAGACCTGCTGTGGGCTTACTTTAAGGCCTTCTTGTTGGTAACTCTGCAATATACAGTCCAGGACACCTTTGTACTTGTTTAAATAAACCCCATCCGCTTGGAGTCGACTTTTCACAACATCCATAGGAGTTGCTGTCCCCCAGGAAATTGCTCCTGCAGAGAGACAGAGAGGCACAGGTGTTAGGGTGGGGCTTTCTGGGGTACAGGGGGCCTGGTTCCCCCACGGTTTCTATCAGTCTGAACTCCATAAGCTGCTGAGGGCAGTGGCCCGGTCTTGGGCTGAAGTCGCACAGTCTGTTTCCCACCCTTCTTTGAACTCGCAGGAGGACTCCACGAGTCTCCTACCTGCTCTGAGCCTGGGGCCCTGCCTCTGTGGCCCTCTCCCCAAGTCAGCCATGAGGAACAATGACCTGATGCCTGAGAAACCTCCAGCATGGCCCAGTCCTCAGCCAGAGCTGGACATGTGAAAACATTATTGGTGAGACAGCCACAGCCTCCCCAGTGCTGCTCAGCACCTTCCCAGCACACTGGAAGAGAGCCCAGGGTGAGGCGTGTGGCTGAGGGTGTGCCGCTCCCACAGGCAGGCTTTTCTTTGAATATGTAGAAGCTAAGCAAAGCATGTACAGACAGGCTTCTCACCAGAAAGGATCAGTAAAACATGATCAGGGACTGGCTTTTAATGTATTTCTATTTTTTAAATCTGTTTTCCAAATATGTAGGACAGAACCTCAGAACCGCATACCACTGGGTCATCCTCACTGGATACACTCAGGTCCCTCAGTTTGAGCACTTTTGTGCCTATAAAGGACTCTAGGAAAACAAGGCCACTTTGTTGTATAAACAGAAATTGGCACATGCTTGGGTGGAGAGAGAAAACAAATCACTGTCAAAGTCCAGGACGGCTGGTTTGTTAGGTTTTGTAATCAGTGCCCAGCAGGTCCCAAAAGAGAGCCTAATTTTCCATGGTCCCTCTGCCACTGCTGACCACCAGGCTCTCCAGCCTCCCAGGACCACCTGGGAACCTCTGTGGACGTGGACCCCTCTTCTCCATCTGCCAGGATGCTGCTTTCTCAGCTGCTGCCCCAGGCCCCCTCTCATCCCTGAGCCTCATCAAGGGCATCACAAAATGCAATGTCCTGGCCGGGCCACTTGCACCTCATCTCAGTAGGAAAGGGAGCAGAGGGAACTGGTTTTCCTTTCAGCTAATCAGTGTCTGCAGGACTCTCAGTGGGAGCAGGCAAGGGACAAGCCTCCAGTACAGGAGGGCACAAGGGAACACTAGTGCTTGGTGGCTAAGACTGGACTTTGTTCTACATTTGGTATGAGTTTAAAGCATAACTACTTCTGATGACAGTGAGAAGGAGAATGAGGAGGAGTACAGGTTGTCTTCTCTGGGTTGGATCTTTCCTATCAGCATCCCACATGTGACATCAGCCTTCTTAAAAAGCAATCCTCTCTTGACTTCCATAGGCTCCTCTGACTATAGTTCTAGGTCTCAACTTCTCATTACACCACAGCAAAACCCCTTAGATGTCTTGTATATTCTTGAGGTCTCCAATTTCTTTCATCTTATTCTCCCTTGATCCTACTTTAGCCAGATCTTTAACTTCCTTTTCTCCACTGAAATGACTCTCTTCAAAGTCCCCGATGACTGAAAACTCAAATAGTGTGATAGCAAGTACAAAGGCCCTGTGGTGAGGAGTGAGCAGGTCACGGTCAGGAAGTAGCAACGAGAACGTTATGGCTGAAGCAGAGGGAGTAAAGGGAGAAACAGACTTGAGGTGAGAGAGTCACAGCCAAATCAGAGTGCCTGGGAAACCGTTGCAGGAATGTTGACTTTGATCCTAAATGAAATATGGATGAAGTGTAGGATTCTGCATAAGGAGATTATGTGAGAACAGCATGATCACAAAATGAGCAAGTGTGGGTTTGAACTTGTGTCTTTCTGACTGTATAGTCTCTGCTGCACTGTTTGTAGCTGTAGGACCTTGGGCCAGTTACTTCATATCCCTAAATCTGAGTGTTCTCATCTGTAAAATGGGGAGATTGATTCCTACCTTATAGGCCTAATGAAATCCTCATATTAAGTTCCACACACCAGCCCAGCCCAGGTGGGACCCTAGTGACCCAACAAAGCCTGGCAGGAGCACAGATGATGTGCAGGCAGGACGAGTGTAATGGAAAAGTTCAAAGCTGCCGCAAGACTATGAGCCAGCAGTTGGTAAGTTAGGTGAACCAGCACTGTGCTTCCACACACAGATGCATGGAATAGAAGCGGGTGGGTAGAGCCGCCATTTTACATTAAAGGGCCCTGGAGAACTCCAGCAACAGAAGAACAGTCCCAGCCTCCACATCCAGAGGCCGAGATCAGGCCCATAAGCAGCACAAATCCCACCATAAACTTGGCTGGAGTATACAACACATTTCTGGAATCTGACTTGGACCTACTGCAGAATTATAGACACCAGAAGAGTGGTTTTTCTTTTTCTGTCTCATTGGGTTTTCTTTTGTTTTGTCTTGTTTTGTTCCTTGGAGGTATTTTTGTTTTTTATCTCTTTTTTTTTCTTTGCTCTTTCTTTCATGACTTTGATTTCTTACCTTTCTGTTTTCTTCTGCTCATCTTCTTTTTCTCTTTCCTCAATTGTCTTGCTTGACTTTATGATACTTTCAGGGAAATAAATGTTGTCTCTTCTCTTTCTGGTTCACCTCAATACTCATTTGCTTTCTCTTCCATTCTTTCCCTCCTATGTCCTCCTGTTTCCCACAATTGGGTAATCATCCTTTGCCCTCCAGCCTTGTTCCTACAATATTGAACCTCATTCATCTCTCTGTCCTGTCCCCTATCCCTCTTAACACCCCCTCCCCCACTGCAACAGGGTAAAATCACTCCACTAAGGGGAAAATCATTGCATATGAGTTCCTGGTATAAATTGGATTTTATTATATAACTGTAGAATTTCTTCCTGTGGTTAAAGGTATCAGGTTAATAGTTACCATATTTTTTCAGTAGTCAGGTTGAGACTATAGTTATTGCTAGCTGTACTACTTTAACCAGGATGTCATACCTCTTATATAGTTTTTCCCACCTGTATTATAACGCTGTGGTTGTATGGGGTCATAATCATCCCCATGGTGCAGTACCAAAGGTCCAGGTACTGAGCCAAATACATAGCAACTTCTCACCTGCAATACATTGGAAGGCAGGTTCTTGGGATAGACACAAAGACCAAGAACCACCCACATCTAGAAGACAACCCTGAGGAGCAGACATTTCCTAGGGAAGCCTTGATACTAGGGATAAAGCTATGTACAATGAGAAATCTATAAGCATCAACACAGAAAACAGAATAAAATTAAAAAATAGAAAACAGAAAATGACAAGATGCAGAAGCAAAATGCAACTCCAGACCCCCAGACCACTCAGGACAAGTCTAGAGCACAATGAGATAGAGGAAACTGGAAGAGAACTACTGGAACTTTCAGAAATAATAGCAACATTAGTAAAAACACAGATGGAAGAGGCTATAGAAAAAGTAATCTCTAATGTGCAAAAAGAAATGCTGATCAAAATGAAAGACATTAAAGCAGACACAGATAAAAAAAATAGAGGAGTTCAGGAATATGATGGAAACCATGAATGCCCCACATGGGAGAGAAATGGAATCATGAAACGGATCCAAATAGAAATCTGGGAGATTAAAAACTCCATTGAAAGTATATGCAAAAGATTGAATGTAGGCGAGGATAAAAATATCAGATCTAGAAAACAAGATTATGGCTAGCTACCATGAAAAGAAAGATATCTTAAAAATAGCAAGAGATCATGAAAAATCAAGACAACAGCTACAAGATGAAGCAAAGAAGAATAACATAAGAGTGATCAGAGTCAGTGAGAAAGCTGGTGACAGTACAAAAAACATAAAAAACCTCTTCACAAAAATAATGGCAGAAAACTTCCAAAACATGGATAAAGCATTTGACATACAAATAAAATGAAGCTATAGAACTCCAAGTAGCCATGATCAAAATAAATCTACACTAAGACATATAATATCAAGATTCCAGAAATTCAGCACAAAAACAGAATATTAAAAGTGGCCAAAGAAAAGAAACAAATCACCTATAAAAGAAAGTCCATCAGAATCACAGCAGGCTTCTTAAGATAAACCCTCAAATCAAGCAGAGTTTGAAGTAAGGTGTTTCAAGCCCTATCCCCCCTCCAAAAAACCCCCTCCAACTCAGATTCATATACCCTGCAAAACTATCTTTCAAAATCAGTGGATAAGTAAGATATTTCCATGACAAAGAACAAATAAAGAAATTCATGACCGCTAAATCAGCTTTTCTGAATGCACTAAAGGATATATTAGAAAGAGAAAACAGGGGCTGGTGATTTAGCTCAGCGGCAAAGCGCCTGCCTGGCAAGCGCAAGGTCGTGAGTTCAGTTCCCTGTACCAGAGAAAAACCAAAAAACCAAAAAAAAAAAAAAAAAAAGAGAGAAAACAAAGACCACAAACACAAGAACACCAATAGAAAGAAGCCACTAGACAAGGCAAACAATTAAACAAAGGGGAAAGAGGGAGCCAACAACAGGAAAATAACATGAAAAAGATAAGCCAATACATATCAGTTAAAACCATCAACAGAAACGGTCTAACTAATCAAAAGAAAAAGACAGGTATAATGGACCAAGAAGCAAAATCCAACAATATACTGCATTCAAGAAACACATAATTCAAAAAGAAATTCATAGATTTAAAGTCAAAGGATGGAAAACAATACTCCATGCCACAGGAACCCAGAAAAAAGCAGGGGTAACTATTCTATTTACAGAAAATGAGAACTTCAGGCCAAGACTAACCAAAAGAGACAAAGAAGGGCGCTACATGCTTATTAAGGGAAAACTCTAAGAAGAAGAGATAACAATCATAAATATATATGCACCAAATATCAATGCACCCAACAACATAAAACAAATACTAACAGATATGAAGATTCAAATAAACACTAACGCAATTGTAATGGGGAAACTTAATGGCCCACTATCACAATTAGATAGATTGAATTGACACAATGTCAACACAGAAATATCAGAATTAAACCAAACCTGTGAACAAATGGACTTAGTAGACGTCTAGAGAGTGTTCCACCCCACAACATCAGAATACACATTCTTCTCAGCTGCACCTGGGATGTTCTCCAAAATAGACCACATATTAGTCCCCCTAACATGCTTAAGTAAATACAGAGAAGTTGAAATCATCGCACACATGTTATTTGACCATAGTGCAATGAAATCGGAAGTCACTGGCAAAAGAAACCACAAGAACTGTGTAAATACATGGAAATTAAACAACAGCCTCCTGAAACCAATGGGTCAAAGACAAAATTAAAGAAGAAATTAAACAGTATCTACAATTAAACAATAATGCTAATACAATATACTAGAACTTATGAGACATAATGAAAGCAGTCCTATGAGGGAATTCTCATAACAGGAAAGAAAGGAAAAAAGAAAGAAAGAGAGAGAGAGTGAGAGAGAGAGAGAGAGAGCAAGAGAGAGAGAGAGAGAGAAAGAAAGAAAGAAGACAAAAGAGAGAGAGGAATCAATCTAATAAAGGAAGTGAAAGATATATACACTAAAAAGTACAATATCTGAAAAAGGGATGTTAGAAAATGGAAAGGTATCTCTTGTTCATGGATAGAAAGAACTAACATAGCAAAAATGGCCAAACTCCCAACACTGTTATACAGATTTAATGCAATCCAAATCAAATACCATTATGAGCATGCCTCACAATATTAGAGAAAACATTCCTAAAATTCATTTGGAACCAGAAGAGACCTAGAACAGCAAAAACAATTCTTGGCACCAAAGGTAAGTCAGGGGCATTACAATCCCTGACTTGAAATTATACTACAAAGCTACTGTGATAAAAATCAGCATGGTACCGGCAAAAAAAAAAAAAAAAGACAAGACCTGAGGCTAAGTGGAACAAATTAGAAGATGCAGACACAACTACAAACACACTTATCCTTGAAAAAGAGGCCAAACATGTTCACTGGAAGAAAGATAGCCTTTTTAGTAAATGGTGCTGCAAAAATTGGCTTTCCACATACCAAAGACTAAAACTAGACCCATGTCTATCACCATGCACTAAACTAAAACCAAAATGGGTCAAAGATCTAAATATTAAAACAGAAATAATAAATCTGCTGGAAAAGAAAATAGGTAAAAATCCTGAAGACATAGGTGTAGGCAGAGACTGCATGAGCAAAACCCAGACTGCACAGGAAACACTACAAAGACTCAACAGCTGGAATCTCACCCTATTTAAAAGCATTTGCACAGCAAAAGTAATCACCAACAAAGTGAAAAGAAAGCCCAGAGAATGAAAAAAAAAATTAGCCAGTTGTTCCTCTGACAAAGGATATACCTAGAAGATATAAAGAAATGAAAAAAATCAGACCCCCCAAATTAAAAAAAACAACCCAAAAATGGGCATCTGAGATGAATACACACTTTTCAGATGAAGAAATACAAGTGGAAAATAAATATATGAAAACATGTTCAACGCCATTGGCCACTCAAGAGATGCAAATTGAAACAACACTGAGATTCCATCTCACTCCAGAAAGAATGGCTATCATCAAGAAATCAACCAATAACAAATGCTGGAAGGGTTGTGGAGAAAAGGAACTCTTCTCTCTACTGTGTTGGTGGAAGTGTAGACTGATGTGACCACTGTGGAAATCAGGGTGGAGATTTCACAAAAATCCAGGATTAGAGACTCCATTCAACTCAGCTATTCCCCTTCTGGGTATCTTCCCAGAAGAATTAAAAACATCATATCACACTGATATATGTGCAACCATGTTTATAGCAGCACAATTTGTAATAGCTAAATCTTGGAAACAACCAAATGCCCATTAACCAAGAATAGATTTAAAAAATGTGGTCTTTTTTATACAGTGGAGTACTACTCAGCCATAAAGAAGGCCAACCTTGAGGCATTTGTAGGTAAATGGATGCAACTTGAGACCATACTCATAAGTGAAATAAATCAGATTTACTTGTGTAAACATTGTGTTGTCTCCCTGATGTGAGAAACTGAAAGAGTAAATAAGAACCAAAATATGCAACAGATATTGTGAAATAGGAAGAAATTGTTCAAAAGGAAAGAGGAACTAGGATGGAGGCAGGGGGAAAGAAAGGAAGGGAAAGGAAAAAAATACAGGTTAGCTATACTACTACTTTCTCATAGTTCTGTGAAAAGAAAGGTTTGCACTAATATTGTTTGGAGAACTTTTTATGCCCATATCTTGTACTCTGAGTAACTACTTTGAGATAACATTACACAATGTGTTAAGTATTGTTTTCTCCTATTATTTTGTTATGAAATTTGTTTTATTTTTACCTAAAATAAAATAAAAAATAAAATGTTCATAGTGCACACTTTTGCATGGTTTCTGTCAAATGAGAAACTCAATATATGTATGTATGTAAATAAACAGCAAAATGGAAAATAGATAAGTAGTAAGTAGCGGGATCTTATGTCAATGGATAGGAGAACAAGGGACATGGAAAGGGGGAGGAAGGGGAGGGAAAGAGAATGGAAAAAGGAGTTGAAGGGAAAAAAATGGAAACTGGGATTCTGCAAATGGGAAGGGGACCAAGAGTTGGAAGGAGCAGGGAGGCAGGGGAAGGGGAGAGGGCGAAAGAAAAAAGAATTAAGCTGTGTTGTGTGCGTGTGTCAATTCCCACAATAAATGTAATCATTATGTATCATAAACACGTACTAATCAAAAATTAACAAAAGAAAGGTGCATAGGGCACCAGTATTCAGTAAAGACGAGCCATGGGAGCAGATTTCCTTCCCAGAGCTCACCAGTGCCTGGCACAGAGCGCATGCTCACCGGTTGCCTGAAAGGCCCATGCGTCCACATAGGGACTGCGTCCCATAGCTCCAAAGGGAAGGGCCTGACAGAATAAGGGACCGTTCCCCATTCCTAGCCCTTCCTCTGCCTTCCTGGACCTTGTATGGAGTAAGGACTTAAGGCTGTATGTGTGGCTGCATGAGTCCTGCCTCCCTGAAAGCTGAGACGGGCATGGCAGGCTTTCCCCACCACCGCAATGGCTGCCCAGGGATAGGGCTCCGGCCGCTTCTGCCCTTACCTGCCACACCGCCTGCCAGCAACATGGTGCAGGGGCTGGGGCCTGCGTGGGCCTCGGGTGTGATCCACTCACTCAGGAACACATAGGGGATAAAGTAGAGGCAGTAGCCTGGGACGTCTCTCAGCAGCATGGCACTGGCCCCCCGGTACAGACCGGCCAGGCCCTCAGTCCGCACGGTGGTTACCATGCAGTGCACCGGCCCCTGGTACACTGGCTGCTCGCCGAAAGCCACTGCTCTGGATTTCACTCCAAGGTTGGCTGTGAAGACAGCAGGGAGAAGACAGCAAGTGACCCAGGAGAGCAAAAGATTACCATTTTCTGGCACCACAGCCAGCCCAGCCCATTGATAGTACTGCCTATGACCCATCGGTTTACATCAAAATTTCTGACCTTTTTCACAGCTCACACTAGGATTTTGAAGTCCCAAAAAGAAGCCCCTGCTGATCTACACAGCCAAATTGGAGATAATCCTAGGCAGGTAAAAGGCACAAGTTGCCTTAGTATTCCCAGAGCTTGCTGGTCAACCATCACTACATCTTTTTAAGCAGAAATGATTGTAGAATACCTAGGATTAATTATGACAAACCACACCAAACTCTTTCTTGAAGAAAGTGGAAAATCTAACACTCCATGCATGTGTGCATGTATGTGTAGTATGTGTGTTTGTATGTGCATGCACATACGTGTGCATACCTATACCCAGTGTGGTAAAAATATGAGATTAGGGGCTGTCCTAGCTCCACCACTTACCATTTTTTGACCCTGTCAGGCCAGCATTTCCAGAACGTGTTTCCTTCCCTTTAAAAGAGGAACAGGCTGCCATAAGGATTACTGAGATCACACACACTAAGTGTGCAGTGCAGTAGGGACTCATTAACTGATGCACAGGTTATGGCTGCTGACAGCAAAGTAGCTGGTGTGAACTAGAAGTCAGGCCCAGTGACTAGAAGGCCAGGCATGCTCTCCTTGACTCACTCCAGCCCTGGTTAAGCTGCACCCTACAACAGCTGTAGGGTAGAACTGAGGCCATTGGCTCTCCAAAGTCCAGCAGCTGAGGACTGCTGTCTACTTTCTGACCTTGGGGTCTGGGCCAGCAGATTATAGTTTATGTTGGTGGCTTCTTGAAGTGGGGCATATAGCCTGCAGAGGTTTTCTCTCCCATCTAGTCAGACCTCCTTTTTCCTATGCCTGAGGCTTCGTTTCTCTCCTGCTTTGGGCCATCAGCACAGCTTTAGCTCCAGGGGAAAAAAGACCTCCCAGTCCTAGTGCGGAAAAAGTGACTCTTGCTCCCAGCACTCCCTTTTCAAAGAACTACCATGACACAGTTGGGAAAGAAACAAAATAAAATACGTCTGAGATCACAAGCCTATTTTGCCACCTGGGCTTAGTGATCTGCATGCAGTGTCCCAACTTGGTTTTACACATTCTGCGAACAGGCAGCAGTTGCCTTTCATTGCACATAGTTGGACTTCAAAGTCTCCCAAACAGACCCATCTATATATTAGATGAAAGCTTAGGATCAAACATTCAGCTTCACAACTCCACAGTCGCAACTGGAGATTTGGGAGGAGAAGAGAATGTGCACTTAAAGTCTTCCCAGAAGTCTGTGAGGTAGGGGTGGCAGGTTGCAATATGCCAGGGAAGGGTGCTTGAACCAACTCCTCCTGTGTCTCCTTCTCTCTGAGGGGAAAGGAAAGAACTCTGACATCCATACTTGGCCAAAACCAGCACAGGCAGGAAACTGAGCCCCGCCACTCACGTACTTCCACAGTGTGTCCCATATGGGGTGGACAGGAATGAAAGTCACACCGGGGTGCACAAGTCTCCTCTGCAAGATCAGATGTTATGGCCCTTGAAAGCCCGCTGAGAGCTCATTAGACACTTTCCCTTTTCCAAACCCAGGGTCACTAGGGAAGTTTTGCCATTAGACAGATTCGAGGTCATTGTCCCACTATGTAAACTTTGTCCGGGCTGCTTTCATTGCCGGTAACACTGACCTGAATAGGAGTCAAGGTTTTCATGAATCAGCTATGGACATGATGTGGCTTTCAAGAGTTACTGATTAAAAGACAGATAATGATTGACTTGTCCAGAGGTGCAGATGTTGAAAGAACACTAGCTAAACTGCCCACTGGCCTTGTCAACAAAAAATTCTGTTGTTGTTTTTTTTTTTCCTTTTCTTTCCAAGGTAAGCAATAAGGAAATTTTCTTACATCCTCCTAAGTATGTAACATAAACAGTCTAGTTTTTATTGCTCAAGAATTACCCATTTGTGACTATTATACCAGTATGATTGTCATGGAGACCACAGTCTCCAGGATGCTGACACAGCTCTGTGCTGCCCCAAGTTTATACTATTGTGTTAGTCAGATATCCATCACTACAGCATAATACTTGAGAGAGAAGGTTGATTTTTTGCCTCAGTTTGGGAAATTCCTTTTCATGATCCAATTGCTCCATGATTTGGGGCCTGTGGCAAGGCAGGCACCATGGTGGGAATGCATGGCAGAGCAAATCTGCTCATCTCATCAGTCAGGGAGCAAGAGGAAATGAGGAAGGGGCTGAGAGTCCAATATCCCCTTCAAGGGCTCATCCCCAATGACCTAAATACCTCCCATTAGGCCCCACCTCCTAAAGGTTCTATTATTTCTGAGAGCACCAACCTGAAATCCAAACCTTTAACATATGGGTTACTGGGGGACACTTATCCAAGCCATAACAACTGCAAAGTCCTTGAAACTCCTTCCATCTGCCTCATCCCTTCCAACTATGAGTAGGCCATGACTTTCAGGGGTTACTACTGATTGAGGGGCAGTGTCCTGATCAAATGTTCTTCTTATGGAGGTACAGATGTTGAAAAAAATGCATCAGCTAAACTTGCTTTGTCAACAAGCCCCAAATGAGAACCCAGCCTGTACTTTTTCTCTTTTCTTCTCAAGACAAGTAATCAGGAAATTCTTTGTATACACATACATATATTTTTATCATATACATACATCATTTTATTTTGCAAACTGTTACAGGGTGAGTTACACGTATTATGATTCTTTATCACTAAATCCTTCTGAATATGTCTCTCCTAAGAGAAAAAAGTTGTCTTAATGTAACCATAGTAGAATTATCCATCTTGTACATCTACATTAGTAGTATTTTTATCAAATCTACTATCATTTTCATTTGATCTCATGACACATATTCTTTTTTTTTTTTTTTTTTTTTTTTGGTACCGGGAATTGAACTCACAACCTCATGCTTGCCAGGCAGGAGCTGTGCTGCTGAGCTATATCCCCAGCCATGATATATATTCTTTATAGTATTACTCTTCTCTAGCAAAGAATGCAGTCTTTTAATCTGGACTATTTCCATTGCTTTCCTTGTTTTGTTTTTATGACACTACCAGTTTTTAATAGTACACCACCTGCTTCTCATTAACAGAGCTTTCCATCTTCAGGGTTTATCTGATGTTTCCCTGTTATCACCTCAAGGTTGTACATTCTTGGCTGGATTTCTTCTCTATTCTCAAGTCTCATTTCTATTCCCATAAAAATAAATCCCTTTCATGAGGCCCTGGTCTTTGCCCTTCTATCCTGGTTTAAATTAATTTGCTTTTAAATTGAGGTATAATTTACATTCCATAAAAACTATAGCTCTTAACTACATAGTTTATGAGTTCTGACAATCGCATACATCTATGGAACCACACCCTGGCGTGAAATCACTTCTTACACTAGAAGCAAATTCTTTGGTCAGAGTTCACTTAGGCAGCGCTCAGACTCCACAGCCTACCACCCTCCCTTGGTATCACTCTGTGGTACCAATGAGGTGGCACTGCTGAGATGCGAACTTCTCTGGGGCAGCGTTATTATGGGTCCACCTACATGAGCAATAGCAGTATTGGGGACACAAACCACAGTGTCATCCATTCAGTCATTATAATTCTAGGCCCCCCCAAAAAGCATCACACTACTAATGGTTAGCCCAAGTTCACAAAAACCTAAAACAATGATGAATTTACCTAATAATTATTTTTAACTAGCAGCAAGAGCATGAGCACTGGAAAACTATCATAGATTTTAGTTGGCAAAACTTCAACTTTAATGACTCTTAAATCTGCTTTGGGATGCTTCTAGAAAGTAGCACTTAGAAATATGCAGCTAGACTCTTTGGACGCGCATGTCACTGGTCCAGGGACCTGAGGCAGATTATTGGATGCTGGGTTAGTACTCAGCTCACACTGAATTGCTGACTCCCAACCTACTGTTCTCAAACATTTCAGGTTTGGTCATAGGGGAGCACGTGTGTGTGTGAAAGGATTGACATCAGGTATGCCTTCTTCTAAAGTGAAATGTATTTAAGTATCTGGAAATCTTCAAACTATACCAAGACTGGTATGATGTTCCAAGTCAATGGAACTGGCCCCACCCTGTTCCTCACTTTCACCTAGAGTAGAGAAGGGTCCCGGAAGTTCTACACAGAACCCCTCAAGCCCCTATCCTCAAGCTCTCTGGCTCTATCTCCCGGGACAGAAGATATCTCTGAGGGAGCTTTTCTAAGAGTGTGTATGATGGGATCTGACTTTGATGCTATTTTCTTTCTGTTTTGTACTTCCTGGAGCAGTGAATTTCCTGATGAAGGGAATCATACTCTGTGGCCTGTGCCACGACCCAGTGCCTGGGTCCCTATGCAGCTCAGCATCATTCCATGAACATAGGAACATGGTGTGTGTGTGTGTGTGTGTGTGTGTGTGTGTGTGTGTGTGTGTGCGTGTGTGTGTTCCAGTACCAAACCTCCCAAAGGCTCTAGACTCAGAATTCATCAAAGACTGATCCTTGGGCCAGACACTTTAGATAGTTAAAAGAAAACTCCAAAGTCATGGACAGCAGTGGCCGAACGTGCTATTGAGAGGCATTCAGTAACAGTGAATTCAGTAACAACCTCAGCACACCAGCTATAAATTTTTGGCCTGGGTTTTGGCATAAGCAAGTTGTGGAACCCTTAGGATGTCACTAACTAGGAAGCTCTTTCTTAGCCCCTTTTTCTAAAATCCCTAGCAATTCCTCAAGATTTGAGGGTCCAAAGTAGGCAGGTGTTTTTGTAGAAAGAGCCTAGCATTAGAAGCACAGAAGATTTGCATTCCTGTTCAGTCACTAGTTACATTACAACCCTATGCAAAGGACTCAGTCTCACTTGCCCTTTGCTTTTTTATCATCTGTAGAAGGTATGGGGCAGGTGGTGGAGGGTCAAGTAGCTGGTCCACTTCTTTTGGCTTTGTGAACATTAAAGGGGAATGAAAATGCACCTTACTAAAATATGCGTTGTACAAATGCACTTAGCTTAAGGTAAATCCTTATCATTACTGCTCTGTTCTAACATGACTCCACATCTGGAACTGCTGGACCTTACAAGTTCAGGCACTGGTGTCCTGCAGCCAAGCCTACTATGGGAGGTCACTGATGTCTACTAGCACATTAGGCCAGAATGACCACTACCTGTACAAGTCCAAAAATCAGGACAATACTTGCTCTTGTCAATAGATTTTTTTAAAAAAATGATTTTCCACTACTACATGAAGAATTTTTAAATAATGTGTTATGTTTGTTTTTTGTTTGTTTGTTTTTCCGGTACTGGGAATCGAACTCACCACCTCATGCTTGCCAGGCAGGCGCTGTGCCACTGAGCTAAATCCCCAGCCCCTAAATAATGTATTATGTTGTGTACATCTTCATTAATCTCTGGTAGTGATGTGGGACTAGAGTTTGCAAAGGATCCAGTAAAACTATCCAGAGCTCAAGGACTCT